TCTGTGAGAGAAAATTCCCTAGTAAATCCGTTTGAGCCAATTTATGGCCCTTTGTCCGGAGTGGATCAGTTGGGCTGGGATGATACCATGTGTTCCCGCAGACCGTACGGCTTAAAGCTTTTAATTGCCCCTGTTCTCCTGACTTAGTAGGTTTAAAATAGATCTTGAGGCAGCAGAAGGAGGTGCGCTGTAGTTTGGTCTGTTTGGTCCTGGGAAGTGTGTGTTGAGAAGAAGGTTAAGCGATTCATTGCTGGACGTCGTCCATGACTGATCGGCTTTCTTCAGGTAACCCAAGGTTGGGGTCGACTTCGAGAGTACTTTGCGCAAGCGTGAAGCTTCGAAATTACTTTCGATTTTACTGCAGAACTGAGGATTGGACGCCTGAGGTTCCGGAATTGGATTGGACTCGGTAAGGAGAATGAGAAAACAGTTTCCACGTACCTGTGGTCTGAGAAGGAGTGTTCTTGAAGGACCCTCCAGGATACTATGTTATTCTGTATCTTGTGAGAGCCAAGTGTGAGGTCCAGGACCTCCTCGCGATTTTTAATAATAATGGTGGGATCGTTCCCCCGGTTTAATAAGACCATCTGAGTGGTCAGTATATAGCTGAAAAGGGACTCAACCCGTTCATTGGTGTCGGTGCTTCCCCACTGACTGTGGTGTGCGTTGGCGTCGCATCACACATTTAGGCCGATGTCCTTGGCCTCGCAGTCTGCGATGAGAGCCCTTAGGGGCGCGTGTGGAGGAGGGTCAAGTTGGTCGTGACCCATGTATGTGGAGCACATCCTCAGTGAGCTCTCTTGGCCTTCGAGGCTCACCGCTGTGTGATCTTCGCTGCTGAAATTTGGGAGAAAAAATAAATGTAACTCTGCCCTTAAAGTCGGATATTTAGGGGGCTATGGTGACCTTCCGGTAGCCATAGTCCTCTACTCCGTCCGACTTTTTCAGGAGCTCGAGCGACTCCTCAATAACGACGAGGATTAGCTGGCGCCTCTGTCCAGTAACCTCGTCCACCTTCCAATCGGCTGTAGGAAGGTGGGGGTTGCATCTTGGCAGGCGATGGCTTTCACCGTGCCTTGTTGCCACCCGGCGTCCTCACATTTAGGCGGTGGCCCGCTATTCTCCGCGAGCTCCTCCAGAAATCTGACCTAGAGCTCTGCATCGACCAGATGCCATTTGTCCCGAGGGACATTACCGTCCGTGGCGCCCCTGTCCAGGACGCCAATGAGGGTCTTGCCCCTCGCCACCTCAGCGAACGATCTGTTCGCCGGGTTGGTTTTTACCCGCTTGGCTTGCTGGGCTTGGCCTGGCTGTATAGCGGGATCCTCCGCTGAGCGTTGCCGCTTGGTCGGGGCCTTGGCTGCTCCCTTTCCGGCTATCCCATAGCCTTTGATCCAATCCCTTTTCCGACGACTTGAAATCCGCGCCGTCGTTGGACAGGATGAAAGCAGCGAGCCTCCTGTCTTGGTAGGACGGCTTCTTCCCCTGTGGTGCAGTACCTCCGCCTGCCGAGGTTGACGGGGGTTTCTCCGGCTACGGGGAGCTCACCAGCCGCTCTGCTTTGCAGCTACCCCGATAGCCGGTTTGGCCCCGGTGCCCCCCGACGTTGATGCATTACTGGTTACTGCAGAAAGACGGTGGACAGACTGACTCGTCTTCCCCCTCTTCTTTGGACCTGGTTTCCCAGGCGTTGATATAGAGGGACTGGCTTGTCTCTTCGGTACTTTAGGAGGAGTACCGAGCTCGTTTGCCGTTTTTTTTTAATATATAAATATTTGACATGTTGGTCCCATGAGTAGGCGGGAAGGGGATAGTCACCCGAGGTCCGAGGGTACAGTTATGGCGAGACAGCCCTTCATCCTTTAGACCATAATTCTTTAAAACATTTAAAGCTCCCAGTCTATCAGGAAAGGTCGGTTTGGTTCGAAGCGGAAAAAAGTTCCGTTTTGTCGAGTAGTGTAGCACGCAAAGTTAACGCCCGAATAAGCTCAAGTAATTAGCTGGATTTGAATGAAAAATAACTCACGATCTGTGCGTGTATGTGCTATAGGTTTTTCTGGTCGAATTTGGTTATTCCCGTACTCGAATAGTTAAGGGGTATATTGAATTTGTGGTAAAAGTGCATGTGTGTAACTCAGAGAAGGAAACGTTTCCGACCCCATAAAGTATATAAATTGCTAATCAGCATCAATAGCCGAGACGATATAGCCATATCTGTCTGTCCGATGAGCGCCTAGATCTCAGAGACTATAAGAGCCAGAGCAAATTTTTTCCAGACTCATGTGATATCACACTGTTACAAGTATATTTCAAAATTTGGCTCCGCCCTCTTACGCCCCCACAAAGAACGAATATTTGTTGCATCCACAGTTTTGAAGATACGAGAAAACTAAAAACGCAATATCGTATGACCATACCTATTAGAAATCGGAAACTGATATATATTGGATCAATTTAATAGCCAGAATGAAGAAATTAATTTTCCTTTGCTTCCCGCTCCTCCTCCAGTACAAGAAAGCGCTTCTCATTCTCTTTTTCGCTCGCACACTGTGCCTCGTTCAGTGCGCGAGCGCCCTCTAGCGGAGGAGATGTAGAATCTGCATTTCAGTTGCATAATATAAATTTTAAATGTAGATGACAGATGACAGATGTAGCAAAAATGTAAAACTAGCGGACCCGGCGAACCTTGCCTCGTCCAAGGTTTGATCTTCTAATAGCAAGCATATTTTAACTCAATTGATGAATAATATCTCGAGTTTAGAACTAATCTTCGACTATGAAAATTGCCTCTTCGCGTACTTAGCAGGCATTAGTCAAGCAAATAACTCAGTTGATGAATAATAACTTGAGTTTAGAACTAATCTTCAACTATGACAATTGCCTCTTCGCCTACTTCCACAAATAACCAAATAAAATTTTTCGTAAAAACAGTCTTCTGACAAATACGAAAAAAAAATTAAAACCAAATCTGCCCAGCCGTTCTCACGTGGTGAGCACTATACATTTGTATCTGTACATTTTTAAATCTATAGATATAAAATATTTAAAATTCTACATATATGATAAGTTCATATATTTATATACTGACTTCGTACGGGTATAAAAGTAGAGTCGTGTCCACAGAAGCGATTCACAACGTTTCTTCTCGTTTTTTTTTTACCCGTACTCAAAAAAGAGTATTAGATTAGATTTGTGGTAAAAGTGGATGTGTGTAGCACAGAGAAGGAAACGTTTCCGACCCAATAAAGTATATATATTCTTGATCAGTATCAATAGCCGAGTCGATAGAGCCATGCCTGTCTGTCCGTCCGTCCGTCTTGTTTGACGCCTGGATCTCAGAGACTATAAAAGCTAGAGGAATCAAATTTTGTTTCCAGAGTCATGTGATATCACACTGCTACAAGTGTATTTCAAAATTTCGCCCCGCCCCCTTCCGCTCCCACAAAGGACGAAAATCTGTGGCAGGCACATTTTTAAAGATACGATAAAACTAAAAACGCATTATCGTAGAGAATGACCATATCTACCAGACTGCTGAATCAGATCGAATCATAATTATAGCCAGAATGAAGAAATTAATTTTCATTTGCTTCCCCTTCCCCCTCCTGCCAACAACCAAGCAACTCATTTTCCTTCTCGCTCGCACACTCTGCCGCGTTCAGTGCGCGAGCAACCCCTAGCGCAGGAGATGTAGAATCTAAATGGTACATGTATAATCTACATATGTGATGTAGAATATACTTAATATATGTAGATGTAGATAACAGATGTAGCAAAAAAATTTAAAATTTAAAATTAAAATTTCTAATTCTAAAATTCTAAAAAATTATATGCTCAAAAATGTAAATACTGACTGAGTACGAGTATAAGTAGATTCGCGTCTTTAGAATCGACTCACACGTGCCTTCTCGTTTATTTTAAAAATTGTAAAATGATTTTTATTTAAATTTTTTAATTTAAAGCTTACTGGCAAAAACTGAAAGACACATGCATCAGGTTTTTATCCTGTCCTGATCCAAATGCGAGCAAGCGTTTCGCAGATCGGTACTCAGTTTCGAAAAAATTACATTCAAAACAGAAAAGCAATCGATGGTATTTTCCCATCTCGAGCGGAACATAGTAATATTCTATCTTTCGTCATCAAACGAAACAAACGCAATAACGAAGACAAATTAAATTTAATAAAGGCAGTCGAATGACTACAGAGGATATTATTATTTATTAATTCTATACCCGGTAATCATTTTAATTATTTAAAAGGTGATAAAACCGTGCTGATTGCATATCTGTTCTGCAGGATCGTATTTATCCAATATGGCAGTGTACATTACTGTCCTCCAGCTCCACAGCGCCCACAAATAAGACATTTCTGCTTTAATACAAAATTTGAAATTCAAACAGATTTCTGTTTGTAAACAAACACAAATCAGTGTAACCGTAGAGCATGCATATTCACCACTTTGGTTACACTGGGCACCGAGCGGAATATATAGCACTTTCGGTCGACGGAAAATTTAGCGCGTCTGAGTACTAGGCTATACCTAAGTTATGTGAAAAAAGAAGCTATCTCTAAAAAAAGATTTTAAAAATTATAAAATATATTTAATTCATAAAAAAAATTTTATTTGATGAATAAATTAACAGTCAACAAGCATTTTTTAAGCACCGAGCGGAATATATATCACTTTCGGTCGACGGAAAATTTAGCGCGTCTGAGTACTAGGCTATACCTAAGTTATGTGAAAAAAGAAGCTATCTCCAAAAAAAGAATTTAAAAATTATAAAATATATTTAATTCATAAAAAATATTTTATATGATGAACAAATTAACAGTCAAGTATTTTTTAAGCACCAATCCTATACAAAAAATTGGTTTTTTTTTTATGAGTAGTGTTACCATATGTAAAAGAAACTGCGTTTTCGTTAAAACGTATTGATGCAGACCTGGTGCAGCCCATCAGAACTCTGGATTTAAGTGAATACCACTAGTAAAACAGCTCGAAACATAAACATTTATATCGATATCCATTTCAATTACATCTCCTTCCTTAATTTTGTTGTGCCTTTTAAACGCGAAACAATGTCTCGAGCAAGTGAATTGATATTTAAAACAAGAAAAAGTATGTTATTTAAAAAACTTACATAGCCAAGAAAGGTCGTGGTAGGGAACACATCTTAGCGTACTTATTGCACATGCACATACGAATATGTTTGTATGTGGTACACTGAAAATTCACAGAGATGGTCGTACATACGTACATATGTATATCACTGAACCACTTCAGGCACATCTCAGAATTTAGGAAAATTTTAGTATTGGATTTAGATCAGGAATGGTTCTTAAATATATGATTACTGAAATTTTTGTATAACGTAATTCCACCTTTGTTTGCTATTTGCTTTGCCCAGTGCATATAATTTCCCTCTTTATATCTCCTTCTTTATTTTGCTACTGCAGCTGCAGCATCGATGCTGTTCTCTCGCACTCTATCTCTTTATCTATCGCTCGTACTCGGCTCAGCAGCAGCCCGAGCTTCTATTGCTTCTTTCGTTCTCTCTCTCGGTTGCATTAGGGCACCGGTAATTCGGTCCGCCTGCTTTCATTTAGTCTTTGCTTGATCGTCATCAATATCGCACTCACGTTCTACCGTCTTTATCTCTCGCATATTGAACAGACCCTGCGTCTTCAATCGATATCGCTTTGATTTGACCAACCGGCACATCCCGCTATCTCTTTCGCTACACTTATACACCCCCTATTTCGCCTACTTATAACAAAATAACTTGTACACACATAAGGTATATCGAGTCCGCCTGACTTCTTATTTTACTCTAAATCAACATCTAGTGAAAAAGCTCACTAGCTTAACACACACATTCACATGTTTTGCAGTGCGTCGACAGCAGGCAAAAAGGAACATCCCTGCAGTACCTGAAGTGAGCGATGACAAATGTCATCGCCTATGCTCCTAGGATGTCCAGGACAGTTTGATCAGCTATCAGTGATGGATTTCTTAGGATAGTTCTGGTGAACGCATATGATTATTTTTTTGATGTAAGAATTCGTGGGTCAGATTTTGAGAAATAGGTCGTGAAAATAGTACGATCCATTGGTCTAGTGTGTGATGGATTGTTTTGGCTTGTATCGATATCGATTAGAATACGCACTAAATCGTAAAGAAAAAGAAATAGACTAAGGCTTGGCCAGGAATTTGCTATTTATTCCTTGAGGGTGTGGAACATAACCAAAACAGGGTTGATGAATCATCTATGTTTTGAGAGCAGTGCCAATTGTGAAATTGAAGAAAAATTAAAAAAAAATTCACTCTGTATATAGTTGCAAAACAAAAAGGAATCTTTCCTTTTGCGCACAGTTTTTTCTTCTAACTCTCACTTTTCACTTCAGGAATAAGCATAGTATTTTGCTCAATCATTTCGCGCACAGCATCGATATTTTGTGGCACAAAAATTAGTTTTAAACGAAATTCGTCCTGCAAAGAAGGAAGTCCCCGATTGAATTCGCGATACCAGTTTTTTCCATTGGCCATGCATGGGGCTTCATCAATAAAAGTTGCACTAAGCTGATCTAAACGTTCTTCACCTAAAAATCCACCTCAAATATGGTAGAAAATTATGACAGACATTTTCATGTACATTTTTGATTTATCGTTAGTCGAAATCACGACCACGTTTGATTTGATATCATGATTTTACGATAGGGGAAAAATATAAATAGCTAGAATATTCTAAAATCTGACTGAGTACCGGGTATAAAAGTATGTGTGCCTATTCTGCCTTGCAAAAATTTCTTCACATTTAATGCCATCTTTTTTTCCAGCTATATATTAATTAAAAAGATGTTTTTTTAGAGATAATTTCTTCTAAGCGCCAAAAGTACTGTGAAAATATAATAATTTTCCATGTTATACTGTTAGTCATTAAAAAATTATAGACTATTTCCACTGGCGTCCATCCACCATTCATTTCGGGGATGGACCGTAAGGTTTTCCCGTTCCGAAAATGTCCCAGTTAATCACCATCCATTAATATTCGACATTCACAACAAAAAAGTGCGATTCACTACGAAACTGTAAACAATGAAAACCAGGAAAATGGGGAAAAACAACAACAAAACATCTGATATGTCAGAATTGTCTCAGACACAAAAACTCAGAGGTGAGATAGCTTGTGGACATTTATTCCTCGGAAAATTCGTTTATGAATGCTCGGCAAAACTCGTGCAGGATATTGCACACTGTTTGTCAGCCAACAGCCTTCCGACTGTTCTATATTTAGAGCCCAAAGTAAACAATCCTATGGCGATACAAAACTTTCCATAAAAAACGATTCGTTTTTTTCGGGTACATCTCGCCAAAATGTCCCGAACTGCTTCTAAAAAAACATAGCATTATATTTGTATTTAAAACATTGATTGGATTTAGTAGAAACATTCACAAATGACCACGCTTCAGTGTTTTTAAAACAGATATCTAATCTAATATATCCTCCTCGTCAACGTTGGCATCATTATCCATGTCCAGCAACATGATTAGTTTGTGCAAGAGTATATTTTGGAGCTGAATCACATTCACAACCATTTCAATATTATTAATATTTATTTTAATTATAAAAGTAAAAAAATTTTCCGCCACTGGTGCCATTGGGAATCGGAGTTTCCCTTCGATTCTCATAGATATGCTTTTTTGGAAAAGGTTAAGGAATATAAAAGCCTAGTTAAAAAGTAATGATTATTGCGACGTGTTTTAAGAAAGCCAGTTGTTGTGCGCCCTCTTAAATCGATAAATATTGTGGCATCCTAAATTTGTAAGATACGATAAAGCCGTGAAACACACAATAACTAAAAATTATCTTCTCGATTGTCTGCGATCTGGTCATTGCGATATTATACCTTAGCAAAACGACTTTAAATCAGAGGCCGGCAGCGTCGTATGCACTGTGCATAGGAAAAAATGTCGGGCAGCGCAGTCGGCACACGTACAGCGTAAAGACTTCTTGTGGTTTCGTTATTCTGCCCTGATGACGTAGCGGCAGAGAAACATGCTTCGGGCTATGCACAAATGGCTTCATATTCTGCTCGCCTACCTCAGCGGCAGAGAAGCAATCGTGTGCCCTATGTACAATTTCTCGTCTTTCGCAGCGGCAGAGAAGCAATCGTGTGCCCTATGCACAATTGCTCGTCTTTCGCAGCGGCAGAGAAATAAATAACGTATTTGACTTCGTGTCTGTTGTCATCGCACACAAACGCACCAAAAAAATGTGTGAGTCTGTGTGCCGACCACTGCTTTAAATGCACAGCTGTGACTGAAGGTGAATGAGAGGTACTTGACGGGTTTAGCGATTTATTAGTTTTGGGGTGGAAGTGGAAGTGGATGTGTGTAACGCCCAGAATGAAACGTTACCGACCAACCCTTAAAGTATTTATATTCTTTATTAGCATCAATAGCCGAGTCGATAATAGCCGAGTTGACAATAATTAAGTAGCAAGGCCTTTGATTGGGGAACACCAAATTTCTCACGGAGAATTATACGTCCCATGTTCTCGCGTGGGCAGACCATGGACCAAATTTATGTTTGTTATGACCAACAACAAATTTCGTGCATTCAATTAAAAGTTAGTATTGATAATTTAAATGACAGAACTACGTTTGCCGGATCAGTTAGTAATATATAATACACATTTTTATACCCGTACTCAAAAAAGAGTTAAGGGGTATATTAGATTTGTGGTAAAAGTGGATGTGTGCAACGCAGAGAAGGAAACGTTTCCGACCCCATAAAGTATATAAATTCTTGATCAGCATCAATAGCCGAGTCGATGTCCGTCTTGATGAGCGCTTAGATCTCAGAGACTATAAGAGCTAGAGAAACCAAATTTGGTTTCCAGACTCGTGATATCACACTGCTACAAGTGTATTCCAAAATTTCGCCCCGCCCCCTTCCGCCCCACAAAGGACGAAAATCTGTGGCAGGCACATTTTTAAAGATACGATAAAACTAAAAACGCATTATCGTAGAGAATGACCATATCTACCAGACTGCCGAATCTGAATCAGATCGGATCATAATTATAGCCAGAATGAAATTAATTTTCTGTTGGTTCCCCCGCCTACTTCAGCCAGTGACCCTCTACTCATTCTCTTTCTTGCTCGCACACTCTTCCGCGTTCAGTGCGCGAGCAACACCTAGCGGAGGAGATGTAGAATCTAAATGGTACATGTACATTTAGATGAAGAATATACATAGTAGATGTAGATAACATATTTAGAAAAAAAAACTTTTGTTTTTAATTCAAAAATTCTATAAAATTATATGCTCAAAAATGTATATACTAACTGAGTACGGGTATAAGTAGAATCGCGTCCACAGAAGCGACTCACAAATTCCTTCTCGTTTATGCATATAGATGTCATAGAATAAAAAATAAACGAGAAGGAACGTGTGAGTCGCTTCTGGGGACGTGACTCTACTTATACCCGTACTCAGTCAGTATATACATTTTTGAGCTTATGATTTTTAAGAATTTTAGAAAAAAAAAAAAATTTTACATTTTACATTTTTTTGCTACATATGCTATCTACATCTACATATACAATGTATATTATACATCTAACATGTAGATTGTACATGTTCCAATTAGATTCTACATCTCCTCCGCTAGGGGTTGCTCGCGCACTGAACGCGGCAGAGTGTGCGAGCGAGAAGGAAAATGAATTGCGTTGTCGTGGGCGGGCGGGGGAGGGGAAGCAACTGAAAATTAATTTCTTCATTCTGGCTATAATTATGATCCGATCTGATTCAGGTTCGGCAATCTGGTAGATATGGTCATTCTCTACGATACTGCGTTTTTCTTTTTCTCGTATCTATAAAATTGTGCCTTCCACAGATTTTCGTGCTTTGTGTTGGTGGAAGGGGGCGGGGCGAAATGTTGAAATACACTTGTAGCAGTGTCATATCACATGAGTCTGGAAGCCAAATTTGGTTGCTCTAGCTTTTATAGTCTCTAAGATCCAGGCGCTCATCGAGACGGGCGGACGGACATACGTACAGACGGACAGACAGGCATGGCTCTATCGACTCGGCTATTGATACTGATCAAGAATATATATACTTTATTGGGTCGGAAACGTTTCCTTCTCTGCGCTACACACATCCACTTGTACCACAAATCTAATATACCCCTTAACTCTTTTTTGAGTACGGGTATAAAAAAACAAGCTATAGGAGAATATTTTATTACTGATGACCTAATAACCAAATCCAAACGAATTTGAAATCAAACTAATGCCAATAACGGACGTAGAAGCTATTGATCTTCTAGGGTATTAAGTGCTTCGGTCAACGAATCTAGCCTTCTTTTGCTGTTAATATATATGTTTTAAGTGCACACATACACATTAATGAACAAAAAATTAGCATTTTAATAAATATTAAAACATTTTATATTTTAGCATCCGGAAAAATATCTGAAAATGTACATATATTCGCAAATGACCCCTCACTAGCTTTTTTTCGAGTTCAGGTATGTGAAGCCGTTATCATTGTAAATATATCAGGCAGGCTCCGGCTTTCACATTCACTTTGCGTTTTAATTTTCAGCAAAGGCGCTCTGGAATCCACTAAAGTCGATTTATTTACTCCCTGTACTGTTAAGCGCAAAATTTACTGCTGTTTTACTCACGCGTTAGTGCCAACTCATACTAAAATAACTCTGTTATGTTTTACAAAAATTTATCGATAACCAAACCAGCTGTTTTGAGGAATTCACTATTTGTTGTTGCCCTGGCCAATTTTTTCAGATCCAATTTAGGTGGGTTTAAAAAAAATATTTATAAAAAGGGCCCTGGTAATAGTGTGAAATCCATTTCAATGCATCAATCAGTCATCTATTTATTTCATTTTCCAATTTAGATTCGTTTTGTTGTATACAAATTCCCATCTCGAGCGAAATTTAGAATTATTATATCTTTCGTCGTCCAAAACACACACATTAAAAATTTAGCACGTCTGAGTACATACTAGGCTTTAGCCAAAAGAATGGAATATTCCCCACTACTAGTATATGTCTCGGGTATTTGAATTAAGGAATTTTATCTCTTAAATACCTTTTAATTTTATTGTCTTTTTTTTATGTGGACGTTGATATGCAATCACTGCACCATCAAGTGGCCCATGCGACACCATGCGAGAGCCAAACACAACTCAAGGAGCTAAACATGCAAAAATAGCTAAGAAATAGTACTAATTACGGGAAGGTATGTTAGTATTAGTGATTTAAGAAGAGGAAGGGAATTAGTAGTGGATATTATATGGTGGAGGGAATTGAAGTCCGAGCATAGGACCCTAAATGGTTCGTGCAAGGACTAATAATTTGATCTACAAAGCGGAAGGAACAAAGGAATAAAGTTTCTAGTAGATATAACAGAAATCGTAAAGTTTATGCGGCTCAACAAGTCAGGGCTATCTACTAGACATATGCATGAAAGTATCCAAATGGGCAAATGAATCATTCATTCTGAAAACGGGTACACGTTTTTGACTGTACAGCGTCAAAGGAGTGTGGGTGAATGCTGTCATAGTGCCTGTATTGACAGTTAGTGTTCTCACTCACTCCCTAGTTGTACAGTAGTTAATGAGTTCAGTTAAATTGGTGTACAGTACAGTGAATGTACTGTACAGTGAGTGAAAACAGGAAATAAAAGAAAAAATCAGATATGTCATATGCAGGAAAAACAATATACAATAATCTGCATAATCTGAAAATATTGAGTTGATTTTTTGGGGTTTGGGTGAATCAATTTTTTAATTTTCAATGGCTTGGCTATTTAACTGAATACCTATCATAATTGCCTCTATGTCTTTTACTGTTTGTTTCTTCTCAAGGTCTGTAAATTGTGATAGTTTATTGGTGGGTGGGAACAAAAAAAGGGCTTTGTTATGAAAATGTTTTAAATTGGCTTGAACTATTTTATCTAAATATGTGTTAAGTGAAAGTTTGCTTAATTTTACTATTTCAATATCATTATCATGAAGTGCTGTTATTTTTTTAAAATTATTTATGAATAGTCAGGTGCAATGTTGGATAGCTACTACCCTCTAGCTTTTTTGAACAAGCTTCAAAAGGAGCTAGAGGGTTCACCATTGCGCTAATTTTGCTTAGATTCATATCCTGTCTTCTACTTATTTCATTGTTTTCAAATAAAATGTTTGAGATTTCCATCCAGTTCATTTCAACTGATTTGAAAAGGTGAAATTTTGTATTCCAGCGAGTAGGGCAGTAGCTTTTAAGGGTGCTTTTTAAAATAGAGTTTTTACCCGATTGCTTAAAATATTTAACAAGCTCGCTGCAGCGATAAACCATTTCCAATAATTCGGGCACCTCGTTCACAACTTTACCAATAACATTGTGAACTAAGTGATTTACACAGTTTAAAGTGCTCAATCCACTGAATGCAGCTTTCATATTGGCTCCTCGGTCAGTTACTATTACGGGTTTATCCATCAGCAAATCACAACCAAAGTCCCGTAAAATACTTTCGATTTTCTTTTTATTTCGATCACCTAAGAGATGTTGGTTTGTTATTGTTATTGATACAATCAATAAAATTTTACCTGTACAGGAGACTCCATCCATTGATTTCACTGCCAGTAGGTTTTTAAGGGTTCCTTCTTTTATATAATGAATCGTCAGGGATATATACGATTCTTTAAAAAAATCGTCCGTCCATATATCCGAAGTTATGCCGTATCCAAAGTTCTTAAACTCCACAATTTCTTTTTTTATTTCATTAAAATGAAATTCATAAAGAGCTCCGATGTTCCATGAGATGCTTGTGGGATGTGGCAATAACGACTCGACATTATGTTTTCCCCAAACTTAGCACCAACAGATATAAAAAACTGGGCTAAGTTTTGTAATCTTGAGTCCGCTATTATATTGAAGGGTCGCCCATTCTTAACCGTCCATTCAGTTGCTAACATGGTGCACTTCTTCTTCGATTCAGCATCTACGTCTACCTCAGGATGGCTGCGCTTACGACAATTTGCCATTACATAGCATTTGTGTTTAACTAAATTCGATGTGCTTTCCTGGAAAAGATCTCCCATACCTTGCTTCGTCCTTGTTTTGCAGAGAGTTTCAATTCTCCATTTAATAATTTGCATTTGACAGATGCTGCGTATTGCTTAAAATTTTTGTCATCATTTAAGCTCTCCAAGGATGAATTCTGAGTTAACACAATTATGCTTTAATACCAACGTGAAGAAAACTCGCATTTACTCACATTCAAACACTACATTTCGACTGCTATTTTTCGCCAATACATTTGCATTTACTTACAAACGGACAACCACAAACATATAAATAAACACAGTTCTTTAATAGATTAAGCAATGAATTAACACCAATAAGCCATATATAAATCTACTCTAACAAAAACAAAAAAATTCATTGCACCTGCGTCGTTTTCTTTACAAGCCATGTCAAGTTTTTGCACACTACTACACACAAAGTGTTAGAACGATACTAAACTAACTCACTTCACTTTTAGCGTTGTACATTTTTTGTAGGATATAGAATATCATATAGCAAGAAATGAGTGCAGTATTTTTGAGTACAGTACACTACTGTACAGTACTGTCCAGTAGGAAATGAATGTAATTATGCAGACCTCTACTATCTACGTCTCCCTTGATTAGGCTGTGCCCCAAGAATTTTTCTACGACTAAGGTTGGAAGGTTTATTAAAAGCAATCTACGAGGGTAAGATGGCAGTCTCACACCTGCATCCCAGTTAAGGCCACGCAGAGCAAAAAGTAAAAAGTAGAATCGGATTGCAAGCGAGGGTGAAATGTGTGTGTCTTGTGTTACATAACAATAGTAATGTTGTTATTTTTATAGAAAAACGAGGAGAAACGTGAGTCGCTTCTGTTGCCACGACTCTACTTATACCCGTACTAAGTCAGTATATACATATGACATTAGACTTTGCTAACTGACCAGCTGCAAAAATAGAGTTAGGCTTATGGGAAATGGTCAGAGTGAGAGAAATATGTACGTCCAGTTGGCTGGACGTTCATACAACTAATATATCGCCTTCGGGTTTTGGCTCGGGTTGAAGAGCATTTGGCTGTTGTCGTCATGTTCGTCTTATAACGTGATACGAACCGAACAACAGCAACCCAACAGCAACACACAAAAATATATGATTGTATAATTATTTATTATAATCGCTAGAAAAGTTTTGAATTCTCTGTTTTTAATTTATTCTTCTGAGCTCTTATAACCTTTACCTTAGAATTTTTTTGTGTAGTTTGACAGTTTTTTATAAGCTTGCCACACAATATCAGAAGAACTGAAATTTTTGTAATCCTCTATATGCTACAATATGCTAAAATTTTAACATAGAATAAACAAATAGGAGTACAGTGGAATGTCGCAAATTATACCTCTAATAAATTTGAAATGTCCAGAAATTGTAGACGGCCATTTTGATGTATTGGAGGTTTTAAAGATTTATATTTTCGCACCGATATAAGGAGCTACAGCAACCAAATTTTCTTTCCAGACTCCATCCGCCCCCACAAAAGACGAAGTTCTGTGGCATCCACAGTAAATCGTAGTGAATTACCATTTCTACCAGATTGCCGAATCTGAATCAGATCGGATCATTATTTTCAGTTGCTAACCCTCCCCAGAGCTGCAACGCTACTCATTCTCTCTCTCGCTCACACACTCTGCCAACCCTTTGCGAGCTGTGGCGGAGGGGATGTAGAATCTACATTTTGAATATTAAATATTAAAACGGCTTTTTACACAACAAAACGAATCTTAATTGCATATTAGAAAAATAGGTGACTTACTGATACATTGACGCGAATTTGACACCAGTGCAATTGTGACTGTGCCCTATTTGTAAATACTTTTTTTTAAACAATCTCAAAATTGAATCTGAAATAATTGGTCTGTGCAACAAAAAATAGGGAATTCGGAGAACAGCTGTCGCAGTCCAATTTGGTTATCGATGAATCGTGTTAATAGAGCACTTGCTGATTACACTACATTACAAACCAACTTTTTCTGATAGATATGAAACTTTAAAATTTTTTTAAAGAATTATGGTTTTTTTCTATGGCAGAATTTTTTTTTGAATAATTTTTTAATTCTGGTATTTTTTTCCAAAGCTTTTTCAGAGGTAGCGCTTCTTTTTTTCACATGAATCTAGTATCTTACGTCTGGTTGTAAAGAACTTTGCTATTTTGAAAAGATAATTAACACAGCTACAATGTAATCCCAAACACTTTGTGATTTTAGCTTACCGTCTGGGAAATACAAAGCATTGAAATGCAAAAATGATGATTTTTGTGTGGTATTTTTTAGGAAATTTTGACTTTAATTGCTCAGGAAATGTCGAAAAAATATATATCCGGTGTCCCCTATTTTTTGTGTTTAGGTGCATAAATTAGACGTCGTTTAAGGTATTGCTCATTAAAATCTATGGATAAACTTTGCAGCTAAAATTCGTTAACCAAACCTTAAAAATTAAAAAAAATGAACAACGAGAAGGAACGTGTGAGTAGCTTCTGGGGACGCGACTCTACTTATACCCGTACTCAGTCAATATATACATTGTTGAGCTTATGATTTTTTAAAATTTTAAGAAAAAAAAATTCTACACATTTTTTTGCTACATCATCTATCTACATATACATATACAATGTATATTATCCATCTAACATGTAGATTATAGATGTACCATTCATATTCTACATCTCCTCCGCTAGGGGTCTCTCGCGCACTGAACGCTGCAGAGTGTGCGAGCTTGAAGGAAAATGAGTTGCGTTTTAGTTTGTCGGAGGTGGCGAGGGGAAACAACTGAAAATTAATTTCTTCATTCTGGCTATAATTATGATCCGATCTGATTCAGATTCGGCAGTCTGGTAGATATGGGCATTCTCTACGATAATGCGTTTTTAGTTTTATCGTATCCTTAAAAACGTGCCTGCCACAGATTTTCGTCCTTTGTGGGGGCGGAAGGGGGCGGGCGAAATTTTGAAATACACTTGTGTGATATCACATGAGTCTGGAAACCAAATTTGGTTGCCCTAGCCCCTGCCCTTGAGATCTAGGCGCTCAACAAGACGGACAGACAGACAGACGGGCAGACAGACATGGCTATATCGACTCGGCTATTGATGCTGATCAAGAATATATATACTTTATGGGGTCGCAAACGTTTCCTTCTCTGCGTTACACACATCCACTTTTACCACAAATCTAATATACCCCTTAACTCTTTTTTGAGTACGGGTATAAAAAATACTTTTTCGAAGGTTTTGGGCCCAACTTCCAATGGGGAACAAAGCAAACGAAAAAGTGTTGTCCATTTGGTACCTGATCGCGATCCCAATTCCCAATTGGCTGTTGGGCCACAGGATATATTTTCTTTCGACTTTTCCCGAGTTTTTAAAGTTAAAATTTCGTTAAAAATTCAATGCTTTATATTTACCAGACGGTAAGCTGAAATCACAAAGTGTTTAGAATCTTCTAGCTGTTTTAATTATCTTTTCAAAATAGCAAAGTTCTTTACAACCAGATGTAAGATACTAGAGTTACGTGAAAAAAAGAAGAGCTACCTCTGAAAAAAGCTTTAAAAAAATACCAGATTTAAAAAATTATTCGGAAAAAAGGTCTGCCATAGAAAAAAACAATTATCATCAAACCATTTCTAAGCCCTAAGTCTTTAAGATAAAGTTGGGTTTGTTCCTTAATGAAAACTCGTGTCGAGTAGTGTTATATTTAGAAACACCATGTTTTTCACACGGACAATTATACGTGGCATGTTCTCGCATGGTCCAACCATCGAGGTTATTTATTTTGGCTAAAGACGGAATGCCAAAAAATATTGTACACTCAATTGCTCTTAGAAATTAAGATTGATAGCGCACATACAAAAAAATGTCGGAAAAATTTGAATCTGGATGATCCATATAGATTAGTTTATGATAAATTGGAGATGATATAATTATGACACACGAAAATATATGATATGATTACACAAGGGAACAAGATTTATTTTTTGATGAAGAACTGAATGTTCTTTTTAAGGTAATCGGGGACGCTTAATCCAACCTTGTACTTGGTTTTTTCCTATCAGATCGAATTTTCGCGATATACCGTTATATCCAAAATTAAGGCACTTCCCTTACATATAGTGGACTAACTTGAAAACGGTTAACAGTATTTAGCTAAAAAAAACTCCAAAACTCGCGAACAACACTGTCTTTAAGCCGTGCCTACATTGGTTTTGAATTTGCCCAACAGATTCAGTGATATCGTTGCAGTTTTGCAAAAAAAAAAAAAAAATTAACGAAAACAAATATTTTCTTGTTTATAAATTTAAAAAAAAATAGCCACAAAAATCAGTTTTCGTCTAAAAACATTTAGTTGTACATATTTTAAATGAGATAAAATTTATTTCATTCCAATCGGTAGTCCAAAAAGAAAGTTATAAGTATTATAATGTACTGTAACTAATCAAAAAATTTTCTTTTATAAGATTTTCTTAAATTATAATTATTTTGTTTAGAGATTAAATGTACATCGAAAGCTACTTTAATATGATTTTTCATAAAGCTAATAAAAGCAAAATTGCCTCCCAGCCAATAAACTTGACAAAAATAAAAATTTGTAACAAATTTGAACAACCATTACTGAGCCATGTTTCCTAAAACTTTGCTAAAGGTTTTTTTTTACTAATTTGAGGTCGCTGATTTCAAATACAATATGCATTTTTTCCATCAGATCGCGTTGTTAAGTTAAAAGTTTCCAGTTCAAATAGTCATAATTTTACTCCTCATCGGGCGATTTTAAAGCATGTTATTTTTTCTTATTAATGTAGCTGTTAGATTTGCAAAACAATTAATTTTTTAAAATCGCTGAATGAGGAGTAAAGTTATGATTTTTTGAACATTTGTTGATGGAAAAAAATCAATAATTCTATTAATACCTGTAACTTAAAACCGCGATCTGATGGAAAAAAAATGGAGATCATATTTGAAATCAGCGACCTCAAATTAGTAAAAAAACTTTAATCAGTTTTCAATCAACACACAAAAAGTTCGATTTTGTTCCCTTGTGTTATGAATAAAAATAACCTAAATTAGCAAGTTGATAGTTATTCAGACAGGCTCCGGTTTTCACTTTCACAAAAAAAATGTGATTGTCTTTTCAAAACGAAAAGTCAAGCGCTCCAGCTCTCGTAAAAAGCAAGATTTTTCCGTTTTCAAAACATGAATTTGACACCAATTCCAGTGCAATTGAGTTTGTGCCAATATTAAACCCTAAAAAATTGGTCAGGTCAAAAAAAAAAAGATGTGAATTCATCTTAACAGCTGTGGCAGCTCGATTTGGCTATCGATAAATCTCTGTTAAACATAGCAGAGGCATTTTATAGGAGCTGGCTCTAACGCGTGGGTATAACAGAAGTTAATTTTGCGCTCAACAGTACAGGAGTAAACAAATCAAACTTTTGCAAATTGCAGAGTACGTAGAAACGAAAAGTATGCTTTTTTCGTAAAAACGGAACTGAAAACAGGTACCTGCCTGAATGTAACTACAATCATAGATTTTAAAGAAAAATCATCTATGTTTGCGTATCGATGAGATCGATATTTCTTATATACTCTTCCCGATTATATATTTGCGATATAACTGCACTAGTGTATTTCTAGGAACACGTGCGGAAAGTATTACCAGCGATATATGAAAAACGTGAAGAAGTGTTCCAGTTGCAAAAAAATCTTCAGGGACATTGCTATGACATGGAATATGGAGTAGAGTATGTAAATTTATTTAACTTTTTACAAGTTTAACGTTTGAACATTGCGATTATAATTCACAGAGCACTAAAAACAATAGAAAAGTCGGAGCCCTTATTTTCCAATGTACAAGCAATATTAAAAACTTCAATTTTTTTAAAGCAACAGCTTGCTACCGAAGAAAACAGGATGAAAATAATAAAAGAAAGCATTAAATCCTCGGTATACAAGAGATTTTCAGCGCACCTTGCACTAGATCTTCCCGAATTGCCTGACTTTAGTGGTGTAATACGGGACACAAGTCAACGAATTGAAAATAAAATTGGTCCTGCTAATGGTCGCGGTGATGCACAAAGTTTTCAATCTAACTTAGGAGAACTCCAAAGGTCCTATACCACATTACACTAATTCTTTACTGATGATAAAATATCTAATTTAAAACTTAAAATAAAAACTTAAAATAAAATATCCTTTATTACTATTTTCTATTACTATTATTGTTCGGCTAAGCGCCGGCCCATGGCAGCACAAAGAGTAAGTTGATCATCTCTTAATCTAATGTCTCTCTTTATAACCGTTTGTTTGCTTGCACTTATGCTCTTGCTGGTGCGTTGCTCTTTCTCGGCGTTAGTCAGCCGCTGTGGGGGAGGCTCATCAGAAAAAGCAGAAGACACTTCAAATTCGATCATCACCGTAGTAAAACGTTTGGCTGTCTGGCACAGTGACCTGCCTGCCACAGAGTTCTAAACTAAACCTAACATAAACATATCAACTTCAACAGTCTTGAACCGGCCCCCGCGTCTTCAATTGACCCATCGTTAACTCTCGTTATCAAATTCGCACACCTTTCGCTAGTTTTGGATAATACATATATATTAACTTAAGTAAAATAAATTGTGAATACATTAACTGAACAATCATCGTCTCTTAAATAATCTTGCAAAACAACGCTACTGAAGAAGCTCAGTAGCTCAACATTTGGTGACCCCGACGTGATATAAACATAAACTCTTTAAATTTTATCACAAAAAACATTTTCGTTGGATAAATTCTCTTTGAACCACGGTGTTTCGGTTCATCGTTTGTGCACAAGCAACAGAAACGGTTCTCGCGTCATCTGCTTTGCGGTCTGCTTGCTTGCTGTTGTTTCGTTTCGGTTTCGTGCTCTCAGTGTGCATCCCTTTGTTGTTGTCGGATGCACAAGTTCTGTGCGTTTCAAACTGTTAGCTCTTGCTGCTGATCTGTAAAACTGCAAGACTGTGTGTTTTGAACGCTGCGATCGATTGTACAGTTCGTGTAAAACTGTTCGAGGTTATTCACCGGCTGTTAACCTCTACACTCTCTCAGTGACTCTAAGCCCAGCTTTTCTATTGAACATACACGATGGCTTCTAATAGCACCCCTTCAATCTTGCACCCCCTCGCTCTCCCCTCACAATTATTCGTCGATTCGGAAGCTGCATTCTACAAGCGCAAGATGCAATCCATGCTAGGGGCGGCACGGAAAATCGAAACGGCCGTCGGCAAGGAGAGGATTGGCGAGCTCAGTGAGGAGGAGCTGAACGTGAGGCTGAAGTTGCTAGCGGATCTTGTAGCTTCATTCAACGAGCACTATAATGCCCTGGAGAAGATTGATCTCGATGAGATCGGTAGTCCCTTGAGGGATGAGTTTGACGAGTGCGTGGTCATGCTGGAGATTCTCATGAAGCGAGAGTTAAGCAAGCGGCAGCCCACAATGTAACCATGTTCAACAATGCGGACGGACCATGTAGGAGAGGCCCAACTACGGTCGTAGCGCAAAGTCGGCCACGCCTGCCGGAGTTGAAGCTTCCTGAGTTCAGTAGGGGCTACGCTCAGTATTCCTCGTTTTGGGGCATGTTCTCCTCCATTATAGATAAGGACCCTGACCTTACGAATGTCGAGAAGCTGCAGCATTTACGATCATGCCTAAAGGGACCAGCGCTGGACACTATCTCGTCGCTGGAATTTAGCCACGCCAGCTATCCTATTGCTCTAGATTTACTCAGCAAACGATTTAATAACAAGCGTCTCATCTTTCAGGCACATGTCACAGACATTCTGAGCTTGCAGCGTGTCGAGGCCTCATCTGTTTCCCAACTACGGTCCCTTTCGGATACAGTTAATGCCAATCTGCGAGCTTTACAAAGTATGGGGACAAAGGAGCAGATTGCTGACTGCATCTTAATACACAGCCTGCTACAGAAGGTGGACAGCGCCACACAAACCAAGTGGGAGGAATGCTCGTCGTTGGAGAGCATACCCTCCAGCCAGCATTTTGCCACGTTTCTGGAGCAGAGATGCCAGAGGTTGGAAACCCAAGAGCACGCAAATGATATGTACACCTAGAGCAGTCGGAAACACTGTCTAATCGCAACCAGCTCCAAGGTCTGTACATTCTGCGGTGATCCAGGACACTCCATTTATGCGTGTTCACAATTTGGGAATCTTTCCGCTCAACTTCGGCTTCAGGAAACTAAGAAGCTGTCACTGTACACCAACTGTCTCCGAGCAGGCCACACGCAGGGAGCATGTCATTCTCGATCCTGCCGAATATGTGGTGCCAGACATCACACTCTACTTCACTTCGAGTCCCCGTCCCCGTCTGCTCAAAGAGCAGTTGAGCATATATAACGTCTCTCTTTATAACCGTTTTGTTTGCCTTTGCCTGTGCTCTTGCTGGTGCTTTGCTCTTTCTCGGCGTTCGTCAGCCGCTGTGAGGGAGGCTTATCAGAAAAAGCAGAAGACACTTCAAATTCGATCATCACCGTAGTAAAACGTTTGGCTGTCTGGCACAGTGACCTGCCTGCCACATATTTTTAAACGTTCGTAAACTATAATGTTTCGGTTTCATCACTCAGACACTGGCCAAGTCGGCTCTGTTACACTAGTCGACACGACATTTTCGCTGTGGCCCAAATGGCGTTTTCTGATAGATTTCAAGATCTAAATTTTGTTTAAACAATTATTTTTTTTTTAATGGTTTATTTTTATTTCAGAAGTTTTTATAATCAGGTTTTATTTTCATGTTTTTTTTTTCAGAAGTAGTGCTTTTACTTTTCGAATAACTTAAGTATCTTATATCTGATTGCATAGAACCAGTTCTGAAAAGCTGACAAATGCAGCTATAAATCCGATCCCGATACTTTGTAGCTGCAGCTTAACGCCTAGAAGATATTAAGCTTTCAAATTAAAATTTAATAATTTTTTTGCGGTATTTTTCGCCAAAATTTTGACTTTAAAAACTCAGGAAAAGTCGAAAAAAATATTTCTCGGCATGCATTTTTATACCCGTACTCAAAAAAGAGTTAAGGGGTATATTAGATTTGTGGTAAAAGTGGATGTGTGTAGCGCAGAGAAGGAAACGTTTCCGACCCAATAAAGTATATACATTCTTGATCAGTATCAATAGCCGAGTCGATAGAGCCATGCCTGTCTGTCCGTCTGTACGTATGTCCGTCCGCCCGTCTCGATGAGCGCCTGGATCTCAGAGACTATAAAAGCTAGAGCAACCAAATTTGGTTTCCAGACTCATGTGATATGACACTGCTACAAGTGTATTTCAACATTTCGCCCCGCCCCCTTCCACCAACACAAAGCACGAAAATCTGTGGAAGGCACAATTTTATAGATACGAGAAAAAGAAAAACGCAGTATCGTAGAGAATGACCATATCTACCAGATTGCCGAACCTGAATCAGATCGGATCATAATTATGGTCTCTCTATAGATTTGGATCAACCCTCCGAAAATCATATTTTACCGTTTTACCGTTGCAGCCAAATACAACCAAATGTAAGATACTAAAGTTATGTGAAGAAAAGAGGCGCAACATCTGAAAAAAGATTTTAAAAAAATACCTGACTTTTAAAATTCTTCAAAGAAAAGTTCTGCATAGAAAAAAAATATAATTCTTTAAACAATTTTAAAGCCCCAAATCTATCAGGAAAAGTCAGTTTGGTTCCTTGAGGAAAAAAAAGTTCGATTTTGTCGAGTAGTGTTATTGAGCTGTTCGTCCCGATTTTGTTTGGTCACAGAATCCACTCTGTTCAAGACGAGAGCATTGCATTTGAGATATTTTGGTCATCACCTATCGACAACAATGAACCATATTTCGATGAGGTGGTATCGATTTGTTTCCTTAAGGACGATGCAGATTGCTGGGTCATTTTGGGAAGACTAAATAGGGCAGCAATATGGTTCATAAAGATCAGACATTCGTTATCGTAGACCCTGGCCATGGCTTTCTCATAATTTCTCTCGGTTACTTGAAACGCCCTTACCGTTCCCAACGCTTTACCAGAGAGGCAAGAAAGCAAGTGGTTAAATTTTTCGATAATTGGAATGCTTTCGTCAGTTTGAACAAGAGTCTCAAATAAACTGATGAAGCTTTGAATTCAGAATATTTGCCACTGAACTATGGCAGAGCTAATTTCGGAAGTCGAGCACGAGTTGGGGCGACAGAAGCGGTTACTGAAGGCGTTGTAACGCTGGCTGTCTTCAAGGCGTCTTTGCCTTGGTTAAAATTGAGAGTTCTTCCAACTCGGCTCAAAACTCATCGTCACCCATCTATTTCTTCGATTACTTCTTGAACTTGGCTTGGCTTGGCAATGCTTGCATTCGGAACGTCGAGTCTGCACTCGAGTTCACAGAGAACTGCAGCGGAATCTCCGCTCCGAAAACGGTATACCCACGACTAGAGGGTATCGCACCACTTCACGATCGGTTTAATACGGAGTCCGAAACCAAAAATTCACCGCTGCAACTATGAGTGTTCGGATGTGTGTAGGTCTGTGTTGGCGTTTTTGTATGCTGGGATCAAAATGAGTTCTAAAACAACATAACGACAACTATAGAGTATCGAGCCGCTTGACGATCGTTGGCGCAAGTGCTCTAACGAAAACAACACAAGAACAACAACAAAAAGCAGCGGTGACAATCGAAAAACGAAAATTCACCGCTGCAATTATGAACGTATGTATGGGTGTTGGCTATTGTGTTTGCTGGACCTACAGACCGACAAATACACACCCAATTTGAATGGCGAGGCACGCTTTGTCAAATTTAAAGATTGATCTTACTGGCATCAAACTCTATATACCTAATAGATACAGGGTAGCGCGTCACTTGGCGAACGGTTGACTAAAACGCGCCAAACGAAAAGAACACACAGCTACAACGACGGTCAGCAACGGTGAGAAACGAAAGCGAAAATTGACCTCTGCAGCTGCTATGTTTGTATGTATGTGTGCGCTTCGCCAATGACCCAACTATACATTTGAACAACGAAAAAGAGAAAGGGGGGAAGGGGCGACAGTGATTGCAGTTATGAGCTATGTATTGTATGTATTAGATGGAATTCCTGATTTGATTCCACTTTCCTCTTCTGTCCTGCTGCAACTTCCAATGGAATGTATCCCTAGGTGGTAGTGGTTTGCAGGGTATGCCCGATTTGGTTATCGATAAATCTCTATTAAACATAACAGAGACCTTTTTGTATGAGCTGGCACTAACGCGTGGATATAACAGCAGTACAATTTGCGCTTAAAAATACAGGGAGTAAACAAATTCACTTTTGTGGATTCCAGAGCGCCTTGAAATGAAAAGTATGACTTTTTGAAAAGTCATTCACATCAGCATTTTGAACTTGAAACACAGCCATATCACTGCCTTTATTCACATGCTAGTGCATATGCATTTTATAGATTTCTCTGAACTGCAGAACTCAACTCATCGATTGTCAATGTCCATGTTGATTTTTATCATGAATGATTGTCCAGAATTATCAATATTTCTTCTTCAACGCTATTAAATATCCATCGACGTTTGTGGTCGTGTCATTAGTGAAATCTTTTGGAAAATGCTTTGTACATTTTTCATCTTTTATGCAAGGCGATATGCGATTTACATCACCGCATGGGCCATGAATCATGTTCAGTAGTTGATCAGTAGACGGATCTGAAATTTGCGCGAAGATTACACTATCTATTTCCACAGGGAGTGTGCATGAGGTAATCCTCGTTTTTGCCATTCAACTAAATACATGAATAATGAATCTCATTAAAGACATTATGGTAACGTGCATCTAAGCTATTGGAGAGTGCGCGATTTTGGATCTCAACACCCATGCGAGTTGGATTTGGTTTATTGTATCAGTTTCTTTTTCAGCTGCATTAGAGCCACCTTATTTTCTTCCTGCTGATCCTTGTATGCTTATTCTTTTAACGTTGAGATCTCCTTCTATACATAGATTTCAGAACAATCGCATAGGATGAGTTCCGATGTGTCCGCCATTTAGCAGAATCTACAGAAGTCTATATCTATTAATTTAAATTTATTGAAGTCATATCTCAATTGACAGTACTCGGTTAGATATCCCGTTATTCATCAGAGCTCCTTCTCCGGGTTGAGAAACTTCTTGACCTTCCTTTGGCCTTCACTGTCATTCTAGTGTTGGAGCTTATTTTTTCTTCCCAATTCCCGATAATTTCCGACCTATGTTTTTGTTTGAATCTACAGAACGGTTCCGGACCGGTAATGACATATTCGTAAACTCAAAGTCGTTCCATTCAGGGTGGGATTTTGAAGGGATAAAATCCCTTTTCGTGTAAATGGACTTGTGATATATTAATCAAATGGTTATTTGGCTATCTTTTCTAAAGGACATTGCACTTTGTTTTGATGGAACACCTTATCCAGGTTATTTTTATGAGATAAAGTTCTCTATAGCCTATTACACTTTGCTTTCATTTAACATTCGGTAGGACATGCCCAAATCCGATCTAGGATGGATAGTTTGTGCCATCCTCTCTGCTCGCAATGGTTTCCTTGTGGGTGTAAGTCCTGTTGGAGTGGGGAGTGACAGCTGTGTGCTTGCCCTTTCACACTTTCTCGATTTGGACTCACGAGCTCATGCTCTATGAAATGAGTGTCCGGCAATATCTTGGTTTCCCATGTGGTGGCGGTTTAGCTTCCATCTGGCTTCCTTAGGGCGTTTGCGATGTTTGAGTGGTCTTTGGATAGTGCTTTCTGCAATCGGACCGCTTCAGGTAGAGTTTTCTTGCCTTAGTAGTTTTTCCAGTTTTTTTCAGTTTCCAGTATGTTTTAACCCCTCTCGATCTCAATGTTAAAGGGTGTTCCGTTAAAGGCTGGTTCAATGTCAGAATGAGGTTGAGTGCTTCACAATCTAACTCATCTGTCGTATGCAAATCACTTACATATATAAGTATCTCCAACTCGGAATGGATTTATAAAGCGACGATCAATTACCACAAATTTATTAGAACTCACCTCTTTTATCCTTAAAGGCTTTCAAGGCAACGTGCAGACGGATGTTATTTACACCGATTTCAGCAAAGCCCTCGACTCTGTAAACCACTCTCTTCTACCACAGAAACTTGACCTTTTAGATTTCTAGCCAACTTTCCTCCTAGTCCTCTTCATCTGTTAATGTTCATAACTTTTAGTCATGTTGTTTGTGCACATATGTTACACCGTAACGGCTCGAAATGGAAATTAATATCATGTCATCGTTGATTGTGTAGGAGGGCGTATCAGGTGGTGATCCCACAGAGGATAAGGACGAAGAAAGTAATAGTTCACATTCTAGTGTTATTCTCAATATATGTGTGTTGCTTTATTCACGAGGCGAAAATGTAAGCCGTTTATAAGAGGGTAATAATGCAAATCAATCTAGCTTTTGCTAACGCTGCTGGTCGCCGGGGTTCCGGAGAAAGCGGGAGCACGAGCGTGAGAAGAGAGCGTCAAGTCGTCCAGCTTACAAGCTAAGGCCGCTCGGGAGCCGGGTTGAGCATTAGAGCGCCGTTAGAGAACGCTTACAGAAATGTAACCGGGAGTGGCTAAAGACTGTTAGCCGAGAGTGGACACTGGCTGTTACTCTGGTTTGTCAATAGCGCTGCTGCCCTGTTAGCGCTGCTGCCTAAACAATCGTTTCTTCGCTCCTAACTCCCTCTGCGGTAGTTTGCTTGAGAGAAAACATGACAAGTAAGGCCATAAGTTGACGTACAATTTTTGATTTAATAATATTGAGTTTACATATTTTTTATGTTAAAAGGCCTCGTTTGCAAGTAAAATGTTTAAAATTTCCCCATAGTAAAAATAAAACTAAGTATGCACAACCTATAACAGATGTTATTAGTGGCCAAAGATCTGGATACCGTGGAGGGGCTTTGATCATTACTGAAGCACCCACAATGACAATCATTAAGATGTTAGATATGTATAAATATGCTTTTTGTGCAGAACTTGGTTTAGTTTCGGAATAAAAACATTTGCAAATCAAGTGATATATTAAAACACATGCCAGTGACGGTACTAGCAAATCATCTCTTTCTAAAAGTGGTAACATGGTGAACACTGAAACTTCGAGAAAGAGAATAATTTCGTTCGGCCACCATGGAAGCAAGCACAATGCTGGTAGTACAGCCAGCAGAATAGTCTTCTCGTGAACCTAGAATTGTATCGTGTTATAAAACTGTTTTAAAGTTACTTCATATTTCTTCATACATACTTGAAATGAAAATAAAAAAAAAGCAATAGAAGTATTGAAAAGTGATAATAAAAAACCCATTTTACATCGCTTCCTATAAAGTGTGATATTAGTAGGCAGAGCACTTATTAGGGTGAAACCCAGACAAACTAGTGCCATGTGATGATTTAACACATGTTGTCTGAAACATAAAATTTTTTTTTTTATCAATTTCCTTTTTTTTTTTTAATCAATTCGGGCTTACTTAAGTTTCCATATTATATTTAATGTACACCAAAAATTAGAAACTTTGTCTTCAAATACTGTGCGTCCGAGAGGAAAAAGGCGATGTATCACTTCCGCCACCGCTTGAAGCGATCCAGACCAAGGGTACCAAAGTAGAAAAAATGTTGCTAGTACAATGGTTGCAGTTACTCCTAATTTAATTGCAAATAATTTGAAGCTGAAAATATTTGTATTAAAACATTATATTCAAGATTAAATAAACTATATCTATACTATAAAGTTGTAGAAAAAAAATCTGTGTGTAAGCGGTTTGTGGTTTAGTTTTTTTTAAAGAATTTTAAAAAATCGTATTTTTTATACCCGTACTAAAAAATGAGTTAAGGGGTATATTAGATTTGTGGTAAAAGTGGATGTGTGTAACGAAGAGAAGGAAACGTTTCCGACCCCAAAAAGTATATATATTCTTGATCAGCATCAATAGCCGAGTCGATATAGCCATGTCCGTCTGTCCGTCAGTCCGTCTTGCTGAGCGCCTAGATCTCAGAGACTATAAGAGCTAGGGCAACCAAATTTGGTTTCCAGACTCATGTGATATCACACTGTTACAAGTGTATTTCAAAATTTTGCCCCGCCCCCACAAAGAACGAAAATCGGTGGCAGGCACAATTTTATAGATACGATAAAACTAAAAACGCAGTATCTTGGAGAATGCCCATATCTACCAGATTGCCGAATCTGAATTAGATCGGATCATAATTATAGCCAAAATGAAGAAATTAATATTTAGTCGCTACCCCTGCCCCATCCTGCCCACGACCACGCAACTCATTTTCCTTCTCGCTCGCACACTCTGCCGCGTTCAGTGCGTGAGCAACCCCTAGCGGAGGAGATGTAGAATCTAAATGGTACATGTACATTGTACAATCTACATGTTAGATGTATAATATATATTGTATATGTATATGTAGATAACAGATGTAGCAAAAAAAATGTAAAATGTAAAATTTTTTTTTTTAATGCTAAAATTCTAAAAATCATATGTTCAAAAATGTAAATACTGACTGAGTACGGGTATAAGTAGAGTCGCGTCTTTAGAAGCGACTCACACGTTCCTTCTCGTTTAATATATTTTTTCAGAGGACGTGCTTCTTTTTTTACATAACTTAAGTATCTTTTATCTGGTTGCATATAACTGGATTTCTGAAAAGCTGACAAGTGCAGCTATAAATAGGACCCAGACACTTTGTATCTGTAGCTTAACGCCTGGAAGATATTAAGCTTTCAAATTCAAATTTCATAATTTTTTTGCGGTATTTTTCGCCGAAATTTTGACTTTAAAAACTCAGGAAAAGTCGAAAAAAATAATTCTTGGCATGCATTTTTAGTTTAAGATAGACGCATTAATTAGGCGTCGTTTAATCTTGAAGTTGGAAGATCAATAATTATATTTGATACAAACCGCCTATTAGGCTTTGAGTCTGACCCTCTCAATGTAAAATAGAGTTGGGTAAAGAGTGTTCACTTTAGTGAACAAGTTCAGTTGCTGACTTTTAAGTGAGTGAACAACTCACTCACTTTGCTCAGTTGCTCACTTGTTTACTCAGTTGTTCACTTGTTCAGTTGTATACTCAGTTGTTCACTTGTTCAGTTGTTCAGTTGTTCACTCACTTGATCATGTCTCATGCAGGGGGAGGCGGGGGAACCAACAGAAAATTAATTTCTTCATTCTGGCTATAATTATGATCCGATCTGATTCAGATTCGGCAATCTGGTAGATATGGTCATTCTCTACGATACTTTTTAGTTTTATCGTAACTTTAAAAATGCGCCTGCCACAGATTTTCGTGCTTTGTGGGGGCGGAAGGGGGCGGGCAAAATTTTGAAATACACTTGTAGCAGTGTGATATCACATCAGTCTGGAAACAAAATTTGGTTGCTCTAGCTTTTATAGTCTCTGAGATCCAGGCGCTCATCAAGACGGACGGACGGACAGACGGACATGGCTATATCGACTCGGCTATTGATGCTGATCAAGAATATATATACTTTATGGGGTCGGAAACGTTTCCTTCTCTGCATTGCACACATCCACTTTTACCACAAATCTAATATACCCAGTAACTCTTTTTTCAGTACGGGTACAAAAAGCTTAAGATTAAGGTTTGGTGCCTCAACCTTGCGCAGTTTTTTGTTTTTATCGATGCTCTATGAAATGAGGGTCCGGCAATAGCTTGGTTTCCCATGTGGTGGCGGTTTAGCTTCCAACTGGCTTCCTTAGGGCGTCTGCGATGTTTGAGTGGTCTTTGGATAGTGCTTTCTGCAATCGGACCGCTTCAGGTAGAGTTATCTTGTCTTAGTAGTTTTTCCAGTTTTTTCCAGTTTTCCAGTAAGTTTTAACCCCTGTCGATCTTCCCTACTCATTGTTAAAGGGTATTCCGTTGAAGCACTAACCATACAGTATATATACTGTATGGTTATTGGTTGAAGGCTGGTGCAATGTAATAATGTTCATAACTTTCAGTCATGGTGTTTGTGCAAATATGTTACACCGTAACGGCTCGAAATGCTATGATCAAGAATATATATACTTTATGGGGTCTTTATGGTGGTATATACCACAAATATAATATATCCCTTAATTCTTTTTTGAGTACCGGTATAATGATGTTTTCCAGCTAAATACAGCCACCAAGCAAGCAAAGTAAAACAATCGATTAATCGCTGCTCCCAGCTCAACTGGAAAGCTAGGTTGCATATATTTCTCTCGTCCTGACTGGAGGAATTTCCCACAAGGTTAATGTCATATTGTCATTAAAGGCAATTAGATTGTGTTAAAAAAAAGTATTCATAAAAAGACATAATTTCTCTGGTAAAGGTGAAAGTTAAATTTGTATGCATATATATTTTTTTCTTTTGAAAGGATTCTTTAAGATTGCTTTTGTTGCGTATTCAACCGTTTAGAAAATGGTACACAACGGAACGGGATTAGCAAATTGTGAAAACGGAAGTACCAATTTCTGCGTTTTCAAAAGTAATTCCGAGCTTTTGCGAAAGTGAAAACCAGAGCCTGCCCGAATGATCCGATAAATAAATAAATAATTTTTATGATTCAGCGTTTCCCTAGACTCTATGAGCATTATGTATAAATATGAGCGTGATTGAATTTTGTACATTCTATGTACATACAATACATACATAAAATTGTAGGGAATCATTTATGGATTAATTAAACATACCACAGTATTATTATAAGAGTTTACCGTAAGCATACCTGTTTTGTGCCATGCATTCGCCTAAAATATATGTAAAAAATGGAAGGCTGTGGTAAAGCTCCATTTGTTTGTAGTTTAATGATAATGTGAAGGCAAATGCAGCAATATATTGTTTGCCATGCAGAACTGCAGCAATAGCCGCAGCTGCTAAGCCCAACGACACGTTATTGTATTGAAAATGTCCATTGTCAATAAGCACTTGGCCAGGATAGGCGGCGAACAAAATGAACGAAATGAGTTTACTTTTGCTTTGAAAGCATTTATCTATACAAATACATACTCCAAGGATAGCGGGTAAATAGATTAAAATGTCCCCTGTCAAGACAGTTAGTCGCATGAAGCTTTTATGCGGTCTAGATTGAAAACCTCTACTTTTTTGCAACTCGATAAAGCGAGGATCGATGGATTTAGCTATTCGACCTACCAAATAGCTATGATGGGCGGTAAGTGGAGGGTAGTCTAGCCCCCAGTACAGCAAATCATTATTGGAGCTATTCGTGTACCATTGACCAGGCTCCAAGTTAATTGTCACTTCTTGCCAGTGGCGTTGAGCTTCATAGTCACCGTACATAGGAGATGAGTCAAAGCCTGAGTATGAGTACAAAGAAACTATGGATCGAAGCGACAGAGCTACGCAAGCTATTGCTAAAATTTCAGATTTCATATTTCCTTTGCTTACATTTAATTTATTGTTCTCGGCAATTAGTGCTGCGGAAATTTCGATGAAACTATCGATTAATGTTAAGAGACTAGCGTTATCGATATAATTAATTGTTGTCGATATTAAAATTAAAGCAGGGTATCCCAGGAACCTTTGTCTATTTGTTGTGTTCGAAAAGGATTCGAGTACGGTAGTGTTCGAAACTAATCAGATACAAAAATTTCGATTCTTCTTCAAAAAACCGATGAACAAATCGCCTGTGGATGCTGATTTTTGTGATAATGAAAATATCCATATAGCCTTAAATGTAGGATCAGTTAAAGATGAAATTGCCAAAGTGAAAGCAAAGTATCAGGCCAAGCTTTAGGCCCATCCTAATAGACTTGCGCAGACTTTAACTTGGCACACTAGCCATACACGACTCCTGCGAAGAGACCTCCCAACCCAGCAATAATACTTAGCTATATGTAGAATATATATTCTATATATATAATATACATAGTAGATGTAGCAAAAAAATGCAAAATGTAAAATTTTTTTTTTAATTCTAAAAATCTAAAAAATTATAAGCTTAAAAATGTAAATACTGACTGAGTACTGGTATAAGTAGAGTCGCGTCCCCAGAAGCGACTCACACGTTCCTTCTCGTTGACAATATGTATTTACATCCATTTTTCGCACTTCAAAAATAATAAATAATATTGTCGCTACACCATATGGTAGCCAATAATTAATAATAGTTAATAGTTAATAAGCAGAAAATAATGAAGTTTACATACAATGTAGTGTAGTTAGTAAGTGATAGTTACGCTATGAAGTCCCGCCACTGTATCAGAAGCCAAGCAACCGCAGCATAGCCGGCAAAGCTATGCGTGGGAATAAAGCACTCGTAAAATTGAATTCGTTTCGCATGGTTTTTTTTTTATCGACTTCTATCGCCGCCTCAGCACTGGTCCGTCCCGCTAAACCCGCGTCACAAGCCTAAGTAAAGGCATCCGCAATAACTTGCACTATCGTTTCGAAAATTCTAGAAATATAAATATAAAAAATATAGCCATGTCCGTCCGTCCGTCTGTCTTGATAAGCGCCTAGTTCTCAGAGACTATAAGAGCAAGAGCAACCAAATTTTGTTTCCAAACTCATGTTATATCACACTGCTATTTCCAAATAGCCAAAACAAAGAAATTCATTTTCATTTGCTTCCCCCCCCCTCATCCAGAACGAGACAAACCCTCTGCCCTATACAATGCGCGACCTTTGCGGAGAAAATGAAGAATCTACATTGTGTATGTATCTACATTTTATATGTGCAATCGAAATTGTAGATGTAGATAAAAGATGTTGCAAAAAAAATAATATGTCAAATATTTTAAAACTACATAAATCATAAGCTCAAAACTAGTTCCCTGTCCATTAAGACATTGGCGGATTTATAGGAAAAGAACATCGATGGTTTGAATGGGGTAAGGAAGAATTCCCACAAGTTCTAAAAATATGGCTGGAATTAATAAATAAATATGAGCATCAGTTTTCTTTCGGCCATTTTCCTGTGGCCTTGAAAAATTTCGTTGATTCCCAAAATTTTTGTTGCTTTTCTCGTCATTAAGCACATAAATTAGATATTCTCATGACACAATAACTTGCTTCTCGTTTTATCTCTCGCTCGCAAACACTCCGCACTGTGCAATGTGCTCGCTTTTAAACTGCTGAATGAGTCTACTAGGTGCAAAAAGATAACTCCGCGGGACTTGCAAGTTTTTTTGTCTCGCCGCTAGCCCCTGACCTCACATCAAATGATCTAACTGCTTTTAAACAAAGAAAAATAAAAACCGTCGGCTTGTGTTTACCGAGACCTGGTTAAAGCCGGACATCCTTAGTTCCAAAGTTTTGGCAGTCCGGTACACAATCTTTACAAACTACCGTTCGTCTCGACGTGGAGGAGGTGTCCTCATTGCAGTAGACTCAAATTTTTCATCGGAATATTTCATAGTCCAGGTTCGACAAGACCTGGAGTTCCTGTGCGTTAAACTGATTATCCCAGGATTTTCCATTTTCATTACTTGCTCGTATATTCCACCTTCCTCGGATATCTTAATAGACGAGCATCCCCTTGCGCTTTAAAAACTGTTTCTTCCTCGCTATCAAATAAAGGCCATATGATAGTTATTTGTGATTTCAACTTGCCAAGTGCTTGAGTACGGGTATAAAAACACAACGAAAAAGAAACTGTCAACAACATTTAATGCCACAGGAACACGTTCCGGTTTTAATTTTAAAATTCTAAAAAATCATAAGCTCAAAAATGTATATGGGCAGTTCCTATCTGGCGTTACGTTACATTCGTACGACAAAATGTTGAAAAAAATAGTCAAAAAGCTGAAATTTGGGAAAAAGATTATCCTCGTTGAATATAATTTGGTTAGACCTACATTCACCAGAAAAGTGGAAATAATCGAGCGTACGGTTTTAAAGATAAAAGCCAAAGTATGACCTAAAAGTGCGTTACATAAAACAGAAGTGGTTTTCGAGGTTGGGGTACAAAATGGCAAAACTCTGCGAATTGAATAGAGTTATTTGTATAAAATTTTTTGTGGTAATAAATTAAGTATTGAGAGTTAATTTTCAAACTTATTAAATGTAAAAACTTTTCCTCTTTTTTTATTAAAAATCCGCGGAGGCATCTGGCGAACGTTACTGGCGTGACGTTACCGAATTCCGCGATTTTAGGTAGTTTAATATGTTAGAAAGACTTTAAGGAGAAACTTTTATTAAGAATCATCTTCTTCCTAGGAGATAATAGTAAAAGTAAACATGTCTATAAAAATACCAGAAAATACCAAAAACGTGAACTTTTGCTAAATTTCATAGGTTTTAGGATGAAAGTTAATGAAATTATATGTCAATTGAGGAAATAAGTTACCTTTCAATAAATTTAGAAAAAAATATCTAGAAAAAATTATATGGAAATCGGTTTTTAATGACTTTTTATGATTTTTGGCCTGGTGGACCTTTTGGCGGCACTGCTTATATACTGACTGAGTACGGGTATAAGTAGAGTCGCGTACCGAAAAGCGACTCCCACGTTCCTTCTCGTTCGTTTTTTATTTGGTGTTATGATGCTACAAATACGCCTTCTTGAACTTTTGCCAGCGACAGAAGTGGGAAAACAGTATTTAGGTAGCTCATCGATTCACCTTCCTTTAAACAAATTTTTCATTAGTCTCAGCTTAATGGTGTAATGTAGTGGTGGTAAAATAACGTAATCAAACTTCACGAGAGCTGTATTTTGTATGTTGTAATTTTCATTAGTCCCAGATTAATGGTGTAATGTAGTGGTGGTAAAATAACGTAATCAAACTTCACGAGAGCTGTATTTTGTATGTTGTAATTTTCCAATGTATTTTCCTCCTGTTTTGGCCAGTTCTATTTCTACTATCCCATAGGCACAGGAAGCAGCAGTATTTTGTGTAACCACCTTGCAATCCCGTTAACATGGCTACGAATTTTTAGTCACACGCGACATTCCACTGATGTTCTTTATCTCTTATACTATAAATTTGTAGAAAAAAATCTGTGTGTAAGCGGCTATCTCCGCAACGCGTGCACCAAATTGCATACTGTTTTAAATGATAGCCAGAGAATGTGACCTGGTTTGCACAAACAAATTTGTACTTTTCTATTAATAGGTTCCTCAAGAATTCAAAATGAATCAAAAAAATCTTAAATTTGGTCCAAAAGTGTGTGTTTGAACGCCTATTTCATTTCATTTCTCCGCAAAGCGTGCAGCAAATTGCATGTGAAGAATCTACATTGTGTATGTATCTACATTTTGTATGTGCAATCGAAATTGTAGATGTAGATAAAAGATGTTGCAAAAAAAATAATATGTCAAATATTTTAAAACTACATAAATCATAAGCTCAAAACTAGTTCCCTGTCCATTAAGACATTGGCGGATTTATAGGAAAAGAACATCGATGGTTTGAATGGGGTAAGGAAGAATTCCCACAAGTTCTAAACATATGGCTGGAATTAATAAATAAATATGAGCATCAGTTTTCTTTCGGCCATTTTCCTGTGGCCTTGAAAAATTTCGTTGATTCCCAAAATTTTTGTTGCTTTTCTCGTCATTAAGCACATAAATTAGATATTCTCATGACACAATAACTTGCTTCTCGTTTTATCTCTCGCTCGCAAACACTCCGCACTGTGCAGTGTGCTCGCTTTTAAACTGCTGAATGAGTCTACTAGGTGCAAAAAGATAACTCCGCGGGACTTGCAAGTTTTTTTGTCTCGCCGCTAGCCCCTGACCTCACATCAAATGATCTAACTGCTTTTAAACAAAGAAAAATAAAAACCGTCGGCTTGTGTTTACCGAGACCTGGTTAAAGCCGGACATCCTTAGTTCCAAAGTTTTGGCAGTCCGGTACACAATCTTTACAAACTACCGTTCGTCTCGACGTGGAGGAGGTGTCCTCATTGCAGTAGACTCAAATTTTTCATCGGAATATTTCATAGTCCAGGTTCGACAAGACCTGGAGTTCCTGTGCGTTAAACTGATTATCCCAGGATTTTCCATTTTCATTACTTGCTCGTATATTCCACCTTCCTCGGATATCTTAATAGACGAGCATCCCCTTGCGCTTTAAAAACTGTTTCTTCCTCGCTATCAAATAAAGGCCATATGATAGTTATTTGTGATTTCAACTTGCCAAGTGCTTGAGTACGGGTATAAAAACACAACGAAAAAGAAACTGTCAACAACATTTAATGCCACAGGAACACGTTCCGGTTTTAATTTTAAAATTCTAAAAAATCATAAGCTCAAAAATGTATATGGGCAGTTCCTATCTGGCGTTACGTTACATTCGTACGACAAAATGTTGAAAAAAATAGTCAAAAAGCTGAAATTTGGGAAAAAGATTATCCTCGTTGAATATAATTTGGTTAGACCTACATTCACCAGAAAAGTGGAAATAATCGAGCGTACGGTTTTAAAGATAAAAGCCAAAGTATGACCTAAAAGTGCGTTACATAAAACAGAAGTGG